CCCATCCCCGCCCCATCCCCGCCCCATCCCCGCCCCATCCCCGCCCCGCTGCCTACCGGGGCCGCCCCTTCCCGGCCGGGGGAGCCGGGCTGGGTAAGGAGGCGTCCCAGAGGGGGTGAGGGGGGCAGAGTAGCTCCCAGAGCCCGTGAGGGGCCGAGAGGAATGAGGGGGAGCGGGGAGAACACGGATGAGGAGTTATCGGACACGGAGCTGCTGGAGCAAATCCAGAGGAGGCTCCCTCTGCTCTGGAGCCAGGCTGGGAGAGCTGGGGGGGTTCACCAGGAGAAGAGAAGGCTCCAGGGAGAGCTGAGAGCCCCTTCCAGGGCCTAAAGGGGCTCCAGGAGAGCTGGAGAGGGACTGGGGACAAGGGATGGGGAGGACAGGACAAGGGGGAATGGCTTCCCACTGCCCTCTGGGCAGGGTTAGATGGGATATTGGGAAGGAATTGTTGGCTGTGAGGGTGGGGAGGCCCTGGCACAGGTTGGGCAGAGAAGCTGTGGCTGCCCCATCCCTGGAAGTGTCCAAGGCCAGGCTGGACAGGGCTTGGAACAACCTGGGCTAGTGGAAGGTGTCTCTGCCCATGGCAGGGGTGGGACTGGATGAACTTTAAGGTCCCTTCCAACGCCCCTGCCATGGGCAGGGACACCTTCCCATAGACCAGGTTACACAGGGATTACAGCAGATCGAACTTTACAATTGTAAAACTGTTTAAAATTTTCTGTAAACAGTTTTATGTGCTATTTATAAGTATACTTACAGTTTATTACAGTTATCTGCTGCTATTTTGACAAACAGCTGCTTTCACTGTGGAAATGAGCGAATATCAGTCGCATCACATATTATGAAACATTTCTCGCTCAGCCAGTCTTATGACTTGCTGAAATTAATTTTCTTGTTCCTTAACCCTTCCCATGCTGCTTGTGCAGCTGCCACCTGGGTCAGCTGGGGGCTGGAGAACTAATTCACTGTGTTTGCAATTCCTATTGTTTTCTTCAGCACACCAGACCTTAATAACCACTGACTCAGTGGCAGTGTGAGAAACAAAAGAACTACTTAGTGTTCATTAGTATCTCCAGTTCAAATCAGAACAATTGGGACTGCAGCTGAGTTTTGGACATCTCGCCTTGGGAAGGAAGGGCTGAATTTGTTTTAGGGGCACAAAGTCTTTACAGAGTGTGCAGAAAGATTTTGGGAGTAATGGGATGGGTGAAACAGGCAGCAGAACGTGTTCAGTAGGGAAATGGCCAAAGTCAGCACCTTTAAACCAAAGCTGCCTAAACCCCGAGTACAGGACAGAAAGTGCCTTTTTCTACCTACTATTATCATCACACTGGGTTCCCATCTCTCTGGTGGAGGAGCTGTGACTGCTGCCAGCATCTTTCCAGAGGGATGTTGCCCACATATTTACTCTCCTTGCTTAATGGGAGTAGGGAAAAAATTGGAGCAAAATTATTTGGGACAAAGCTATTTAGGTCCTTAAGTTCACAGGAAGAAGGGGTATTATTCAGTTTTAAAAAAAGGATAAAATAAGTAAGAACAAAGCTTTAAAATAAATCTGTTGCGTCATAGGTTTCTGTTTGAGGCCTGTTTTGTGACTGGAGCTTGTATCTGGAGAACTTTACCTCTTTTTCACTTTAGGAACTTGACTCTTCATTTGAGAGTACCAGCTGGCTCATGCTGGTTGCATTTTCTTTTTTATTTTCTAGAAGAAATCTAGGCAGAAAAAGGAGGTTTTGTATTTTGGAGTGGTGAGAGGCCTCAAAATCTCAAAGCAAAAATTTACCATTTAATTTTTTTTTTTTCAAGAGGAATGATTTTGTCCAAGTGTTCCTGTAATTCACTGCAGGTTTGAAAGGAATGCTGCTCAGGATTCATGGCTAATGCTCGGTGCTGATTGTTACTGTGCACTTACCCTGTGGATCTGAACTTGTGCTTTGAACGTGTTGCCTTGATCCAGTGGCTGAGTTGTGATTTTATCCCCCTGTTGTGGGAGCTAAATGAGGTGTGAGCTGAGCTGTGACAGCCCTCCATATGTCCCCTGTGCTGTAAGTAATCCTGTCCCTCTCTCTGTGAAATTCAACTTGTTTGCTGTTGTTTTTTTCTTGCAGTGTTGCCCCGTGGGGACTGTCCCTTCAGACAGCTCTGGAAGCCACGAAAAGGAGCGGATGGAGTTGAGCCAGAGTTACAACAGCTCTGCTTTGGACTATTCAGAAGATACCTTTGAGTCCTTCAGTGAGGAGGAGGAGATCAAACCATCTGGCTCCTGCTGTCCCACAGAGGATTTGGAGGGCTCAGATGTGTTGGAAAGCACGTCATGGTTGGCAGGCCAAAGTCATGCAGGTATGCAGAGCTTTCCCTCCCAGAGACCTCCTTTCTCAGCTTCTGATCAGCGCTCTGGGGACTTGAATCAGCAAAAATAAACATGCGAAGATTGCACACAGTGTTCCTGCTGTGCAGAGGAACAGACCCTCAGTGTGCTGACCAGCTCTGTGCTCCCAGGATTCGCCAACAGCTCCATGTGGAACAATTTGGCCATGGAAGCCCTTCCTTTGTAATCTTGTGATGCTGAAATGCTGTTGGCATCTTAAAAAAAAATATTCTGCAAGTTGTCTTGACTGAGTTACCACACCTGAAAAGTAGATGGGCCATAAAATAAGTTTTCCAAGGGAAAGTTCCAGGATTTGAAATACTGAGGAAGGCTGGATTCCCCATCCAACCTGGCCCTGAGCACTTCCAGGGATGGGGCAGCCTCAGCTTCTCTGAGCAATGAAGAAGCTGCATTAAATGAGGGATAAATCAGCTAAATGCCCTGTTGGGTTTTCTTTTCTCTCTGCAGGGTTCTCTGTCATTCTTCTATGTTCTCCTTTTCTCCAAGTTTGGTCTGGTAAATATTGTGGGTACTTAAAGAGATGAATAATCTTTTAATTTAGTTTGGGAGCTTGCAGCATATATAAACTTTATAGCTTCAAAGATTAGCTGCAACCCTTTAAATGTATTTTTAAAGGTAGTGTAAACAAGATTTATTTTAATGTCTGTTGGTTGTTAGTTTTGTGATCTGATTCTATTCAGTTCAGCTTGGTCAGCTGGCATGTACCAATATATAATGTTAATTACATATTATAATTATATATATTTTATATATTGTAATTATATATTATATAATAGATAATGTTAAATATAGTTACTATGGTTTCATATTGGGAAGCTGGGTTTTTTCCTGCTGTAGACAAGTCCAGTAGAGATGTTCTTCCTATCCCTCATCCATCCAACATTTTACTTGATGTTTTTTTCACTCTACAGTAAGAACTGGCACCATTATCATTAGGAATCCTTTAAAAATACTGTTTAAGCCTGAAATGCCACCCATGGAGGCCAAACTTTGCTGTCAAATACATATCCATGAACGTAAACCCTGTTTTATCATAGCACAGAATTCAGCATTGGAGATCAGTGCTTCAGAAATCTGAATAAAGAGGTGATCATTGTCTTGGTATCAATTCATGATGCATCCCTAAAATTGAACCGTGTCTGATTTGTGGTTTTTGCTTAAAATTTTTGTAGTTTTACAAATGATATGTTTTAATCCCTTTTTTTTTCCTGGAAATATAACAAGATTTTTAAAATTTATTCCATATCTAATGATTGAAATCCTTATTTCTGACATCAAGGAACACATGCTAGGAGCAATCCTTACTGTGTGCATAGAGGTTTCTTTAGTAAGTGTTACCTCTTTTTGTCTTTACAAGGTTAATATTTCATAAAATCACAGAGTCTTCTGAATGCTCTCAGTTAAATGAGAAACTGGGGAATAATTCACAGAGAATTTTTTGGGGGGAATTGATTGCTTTCTGTGGTATATATTTTCCTGAGAGCAGCATATATAAATAATAAAACCCACAGAAAGCCTGTCATGCTGCTGCTCCCACAGGGACACGTTATTTCCTTGTCTAAGCCCATGGAATTTGCTGTCAGAACCCTGAAAACAGAGCAGAGAAAGGAGATGCTCCCTGTTTTGAATTGTGGCCATGCCATGTGCACCTTGCTGTCACTGGTAGGGACTTCTCAGACCTTCCAAGTGTTTTGTCCTTTCCCAGCTCTTTGCTTTCACATCTTTGTGGTTTCCTCAGTTCCTGCAGAACTGGAGTTCCCAGAATCACAGAATATTCTGGGTTGGAAGAGACCCACAAGGATCATCGAGTCCAACTGGAATAAGCTGGAGAACAGGGAGCTCATACAGAGTTTTTATTTCCCTTTTGCCACCTTATTTTCCACTTGGATCAATACCCTGAGACAGTTCAGCTCAGCTCCTAAGAGTGTGTGGCCACAAAAGAAAGAGCTGGAAATAACTGATGGGGCTGAAGGAGGGAGGAGGGAGATGAGATTAGTGTGACATTCAGATCAAATTGAACGTGTAAACAGGCTCCCATTTTCTCAGTGAATCCTGGTTCAGTGGGGTGATTAGGAATGAGCAGTGGAAGGTATTTTATGGGACAGAAGCTTGTTTAGCTGAAATCCCTGGTCTCATCTGTGTATTCCTGTGGCTTGGGGTTTCTTTTCCCTCACCAGCGCAAACTGGCACGTTCAAGTGGAGCATTGTTTGCTTTTCTGCAGTCCTGCTTTCCTCACAAGGTATGTTCAAAGTTGCCTTTTTTCATTGCAGAGGAGCAATCTGGAGTGGATTCTGCAGCTCTGGAAAGAGTTGCCATAGGAAAATGGATTGATGCCATGGGAAGATGGAGAGATCTAAAAAATAAAGAAGCTGAGGTTAAACAGGACAACTCTGTCAGGAAAACTCATGGTGGTGAGTTCAGTTACTTCAATAGAGGTTGTAATAATTTCTTTTGAGAGGGGATGTAAGCTTTGAACTAGTCTTAAATTTTATATGCAGGCTGTTAAGCTGGATAGTTAGCCAGGTAATTAAATACAAAGTTTCTCTTTTAGGCTTTCTTGCAAAGCAGTTTGTCTCCCATACACACATGGCTTTGATGCTCCTGATAAAATGACATTATCCTAGTGATGCATTATCACAGAATCTGGATAAATGCATTAAAAAAATATATCCACATTTTAAATTTAACTGTAATCCTCAATTTTTACTAGACTGTTAAGGTTTTTTTCTCTCCAGCTTTCTCTTTCAGCTCCAGTACCAGTACAGGTATTAGAAATGTGGAGTTTTTCCCTCCAAAATAAACGTGACTTTGGAATTTATTGTGTGGGATGTTTTTCCCCTGTGTGCTGGTTTAAAGGTAAACTGGCAGGAGAAATGAACCCAACTCAAGAGAGATTATAAGTCAGAGTTACGATTTAATAAAAATAATACAATAAATACAATTATACGGACAAACAATTGGTTTTAACCCACAAAACCCAGATGTATAACCCCAGCACCCTGGGGCATGAACAGAATGGTGTTCGTTGGCCCCCGTGCTGAGCCCCATGTGGTCCCCTGAGTCCGAAGGAAAAGGAAAGGAGAACCTGTTGGTGAGAGTGGTGGTCACAGTCTGGTTGAGAGTGGTGGTCGCACTCTGGTTGAGAGTGGTGATCACAGTCTGGTCGAGAGTGGTGGTTACAGTCCGCTTGAGGTTCTGGTCCTCCTCTGGATCCAACGAGTGGTACCAGAAGTCCCAAGATCCCAAGATTATATACACTCAGGTTCCAGTGGGAATGCCCGGTACCTCCCCCAGGGCGGGGAGTTCCACAGTGGGTGACCGTGAGTGGTGAGATATTTTTGGAATCCTTGGTGGCCCATTAGCAGACATGACCCCTCAGGCTGGGTGTGGAGGTGCTAAAGACTCCCCAGAGGGGAGTCATCACACCTGAGTCATTGGCGTGAGGATAGGAACATCCTCCTATCTCACAGGCTTCTTAACATGCAGCTTATAGCCTGAGGGGCCAGGTGTGCTCTGGGCAGCTGCTGCAAATGGTCTGTTGTTAACAGTTCCTGGGAAATGACATGGAGGGTATACAATACACAGTTTGGGTTACACCCACACAATGATGAACTGGTCCCGGCTGCTCTAACTAGGACACCCTGTTAATCAACTTTATGGATTATTGAATTACCTGTTTGCCCTGTTTTAATTCCTTTCCCAAGCTGAGGGAGGCAGCAGGGCACTAATTTTGGCAAGAACAATGGAACAGCTTTAACCACCACAATGACGGAGTGTGTGGAGGAGGAGGAGAGGGGAAGGGAGGAAGGAAGAGGATGCCTTTCCATGTACTGGTTACACAAGCAACTGTGAGAGCAGATGGTGGGATGCAAGTCCTGCTAAAGTGTCTCTCAAAAGTGTGTCAGAGATGCTATTTTTAATTTAAAAAAAAAAAGAGCAAGAAAGCTGGAATTGAGCAAAAAATTAGTGTAAGCAGACAGGGAATCTTCCTCAGTCTGTGTGTTCATGGGAAGTGAACAAGATCAGGAGTTTTGTAGGTCACCTGTAAGACTGATTAACCAGGAGATCCTCCTGCCACTTTGTGGCCCAAACATCCTCAAACCATCCTAGAAAAACAGGAGCTAAGGTCATTTCTAGGCTATTTTTAATTGTTGAGCAGTGGTGAGTCAAAACTGTGAGTTCCTGACTCATCTTCTGCATTTATCCTTGTGTTCCTGCTTTCCCAAGGCTACCAAGCAGGCTTTTAGTAGAGCAGCTCATCTGTAGTAGAGGAGCTTCTCCTGGCCAGCTCCTCAGAGATGATATTCCTAAAATACCTCAGAATCCTGTGGCTGATTCATGGAGAAATTAAAAGGGACCTGAGGAGTTCCAGAGTCACTGAATGAGTGAGGAACCACAGTTTGAGGTTGAGGATGTTTTCCATCTCTACTTTCCCTTGAAAGTTGCACTTGGAAGATTTTACTCATAGGATCACTTCCAGATTTTTGTAGTTCTGCACAAGTAGTAGTTTTTTTTTTGTAGTTCTGCCTTTGGTGTATGGATGTTGATGGGTAAGGAGAGGCCTGGAGCAGTTCTGTTCCATTCTCTAGTGCTCATTTATGAAGGCATGTGTTGTCTTCTGCCTGTGCTGTCCCTTGTCATTGTTACAGCAGTGCTCCCAACCACTATCAATATGAAGAGCACAAAATATACTTCATGCTCATCCATGTTACCCCAAATTCATCAGCATCAGTAATTCTTTAGCCATGGACTACATTGATTGCAGATATTAACATACAAATAAAGTAAAGCACAGCAGCTTTTGCACACTGACATCTAGAACTGCCTCCTTCTCTTTGACTTAATCATTCAGTGTGCAGGAACTCCCAAACCTTATACTATTTTAACAACTTGGAGATTTTTTAAAAAAATATAATAGAAGATGAGCTCACTAGAACTAGATTTGCTGCACAGTGAGTCCCCTCAGTACACTCAGCAAAGTGAATTATGTGTGCACTGAGCATGCAGGGTACTTCTGAATTTGTCTTCTTTGTAATAAACCCTTTTTTTCTTATCTTCCTAATAGAGAGGGGAAAAAAAGTTCTGGTTTAGCTATGGAAATGTCCTGGAATGTGATTCTTATTTTTTCCTAGTTTTCTCTGTGGGCTGAAAGAAGAAAAAGCTGAATGCTGGCCTTGGGAGAAGGGAGAAATTTTTGTCATAGTTCTCTTTCTATTCTCTTCTCTGTCCCTCTTCCACCAGTTATTAGGCAAAATACATCACAACATGACTTTAAATTCCCAATTCCATATAGATTATTCCAAAGATCACTACTCATCTTTAAAATTTACTCAGCAAACTGCAATTCTTCAACTTGGATCTGTCTGAAAATTCAAGGGGGGCTTTTTAACCCTGTGAGTGGTGCTGTGCTCACAAGTTTGATCTCACCTTTGTAACATGTCTACATTAAATGCTTTGCTTGTTTATTTTCCACTGCACTATTGCTGTCAAAAGTGAGAGAGCTTGAGCTGGTAATGTATGTTATTTGGAAGCAAAGAAATGTTTGTGGCTCAGATACAGTTCAGTCACTCAATCGTTATTGTTACTGTGATAGTGGTGTCAAGTTAAAAGTAAAAAAGGCCCTGAGATTCCAGACTTGTCTTCTGATTTTGTAGTTAAGTAGAATTAATGTAGGCTGGATGTGGAAATTCCAACCAGCAACACCTGAGTGGAAACCCTGCTCTGGAGTCAGGCTGGGAGAGCTGGGAGTGTTCACCAGGAGAAGAGAAGGCTCCAGGGAGACCTGAGAGCCCCTTCCAGGGCCTAAAGGGGCTCCAGGAGAGCTGGAGAGGGACTGGGGACAAGGGATGGAGGGACAGGACAAGGGGGAATGGCTTCCCACTGCCAGAGGTCAGGGTTAGATGGGATATTGGGAAGGAATTGTTGGCTGTGAGGGTGGGGAGGCCCTGGCACAGGTTGGGCAGAGAAGCTGTGGCTGCCCCATCCCTGGAAGTGTCCAAGGCCAGGTTGGAGCAACCTGGGCTAGTGGAAGGTGTCTCTGCCCATGGCAGGGGGTGGGACTGGATGATCCTTGATGTCCCTCTGTGGTAGTTTGAGACCCCCCAAAAATCCAATTTCCAAGTCCAAGCCCCCCTCCCACAATTTGCTTCAGTGTGAGAGGGTTTTTCAGACGTAACACAAGACTCAGTATGGGGGGAAGGGAATTTTATTACAATTATTACACAAATAAATACTATAATACATTATATACGTAATTCTCTCTCTCCTATGGTAAAGCAATATTTACATTAGATCAAGTCCCTCCTTTCCCTCCAATAAAAGTTCAGAAGGGAAGAAGGAAAGATCCTTTCCACTTTCGGGGCAGCAATGTCTCTCCTCTTCAAAGCAGTAGTTGTAGCTGGAATCTCTCTCTCTCTCTCCATTACACACAAGGAGGTCTCTTCTCACCCCTTAGCCCTTTGGCTCCAACCGAAGGTCTCGCTCGTGGACTGCCAGCAGGGACAAAACTCACTTCACCACAGTCATATCACGGAATGCAAGACATCCCATGAAAGTCCCTTCCTCGAGGGGTCGAGTTCCCTCGAGTCAGAATGTTTAAGGCAGCTCTCAGTTCAGTCTTTGCCCCAAGTGTCCTACCAGAGCAACTTTGCTCTGTCTCAAACTGCCAGCATGGACAAGGCCACCTCCTCCGCATTCCATCTGGCCTGTTCTGATCCAGCTTCAGAACGTCTCTGAGCTTCTTAGCTCCTCTCTCCGGTGCTGCTGCATTTCAGGACTCCCTTCAAATGGAAGTCCACCCCCTCCCTTTAAGAGGGGTCTCCAAGGGTTTTTGGGAAAGTATTTCAGTCTTACCCCAAAAACAGTCTCTGCTGGGTTTTCTCTGCTCTGTTGCCAACTCTCCCTCCTGCAGGAACATCTCTGTGTCTCCCAGCCTGGCTGTGTGCCATCTTGCTGCTTGCTATCTCTTTTGGCCCTCGACCACAGTTCTCTGGTCAGTGCTGCTCCGCTGCTGCCTTCAGTGTCTTCTGCTGCTGCTCATAGTGGAGAAACTCCCCCAGCCTTTGACGACGGCACCCGGTCCAGTTTTAACACTACGCCGGGTCTCCCGTAGTCTCGGCTGGGGGCTGGGGGCCTTGACCCCCAGCGGGGCTCACTGGCCCCTGTCTCCTCATGGTCTCAGACCATGGCTACCTTCTCTCCAGCTACATCATCATCCTTCTTTTCCGGTCTGGTGTGATATGTTTTAATTTTGCAGGGGCACTGATTGGGTCAACACCAAGAAACGCTACCCCCCTGGAGTTAAACACTTTTCTAACTCCAGGGGAAAACACTTTCCCAACCCAGGACACCCTCCCAACCCAAACCATTCCATGATACTACAATGATTCACTGTGCTGGAGGAGTTTAATTTGCTCTAAATTCATATTTGTGATAAATAACCTGATAGTTCAGCCCAGTAGGTCAGTTCTGTGTTGCCTGCAGGGATCTTTCACAAACTGTTTGCTGTCAGCACGTTACCCTGACCTGCTGCACTCAGTTATACAAATCACTTTAGGTAATCATGAAGATCTTGAGATGCAGAGAGAAAATCTTTTTGGAGAGTAGTTACCAGTTGCTGCCTTTCACAATTATCTCTTTTTCCTTTTTTTCATCTTAAAATAGAGTATCAGCAGAGCATAACAATAACAAAATACCTGCCAATTTTCCTATTAAAGTTAGTTTCAAAGGGAAAGGAAACTGAGGAAAGACTTTCCCTCTTTTATTCCTGCCCCTCACACATTTAAAATGTCACAGAAAGCAATATTTATATAGGTCACTTAGTTACAAAGCTCCCAGCAGGGTTTGGGATCTAGACATATGGATTAATTTATCTCTAGTGGGACACACCAGGGCTTTCTGTCATCAGAGCAGCTTCTTGGGCCACTGTGGGGCTTTACTTCCTAAATATTCCATGTTTTGTGACCTTCCTGCTGTGTGAGATGTGGCTCTGACTTGATGCCTGTCCTGGTGGCACTTCTGCTGCTCCTGTCACCTCTTCTGCCTCATCCCTTCTTCAGTCACTATCACTCATTTAATCATTATTGTTACTGCGATTGTTGTGTCAAGTTAAAAATAAAAAAGGCCTTGAGATTCCAGACCTGTCTTCTGATTCTGTAGGTAAGTAGAATTAAAGTGGTCTGGATGTGGAAATTCCAACCAGAAATGGAAACCCTGCTTGTAAAAAGTTCATTAATGCCTTGATGGAACTGGGAAAGAAGGATTTTCTTCCAAAAGCCATGGATTCTGTGGGGATCTTCCCATTGTCTTCTCACTGCTGTTGCTGCAAAGTGAAGAGGGTGTGGGGAGCACTGGATTTGGGGCAGCCAAGCAGCAGGAAAGTGTCCTTGTGGAGCAGTAATTGGCACTGCAGGGATTCTCTGTGGGCACAGGGCAGGGACATTTAAATCTGCCACCCCAAATGGAGAAGGATCTGGGATGGAAAGGAGGGAATATGTGAGAGATACCAGAAATAAAACCAACCAGTGCAGAGCTGAAGGACAAGTAAATCTTCTCCACCTGGGAGAAAATTAGAAACTTGAGTCAGTGTGCAGAGAAAAGACAAAACTTTCCCCAATTTAACTGTGTGCTGACTTTTCTCTTAGTTCTTTTTTGTTCTTGTTTCAGAAAAATTATAGTCCTTGATAATTTTTATTCTCCCTGAGATTACTTTTAAATGGGAATAAATATTAAAAAGTAACTTCAGGAACGAGTCGTGTAGGGAGGATTAACACTTGCTGTTCTCCTTGCTAGTGTTTTTTCTGATGTCTGTAGGTGCAGATGAGCAAAGGGATGGGTGTATGGCAGCACAGAATTCATGCATTATTAGAAACCAATTCTTAATAAGTATGCACTTCTGTATGTCAGGAGAACCTTAAGTGAATGAATTAGGCTGGTATTAAATTGTCACAGCCCCCAGGGGTTTTACTTATGGCTTTGAGTACTTAAATGCTTTTGTTCTGGGTTTTCCCCCCCCATAATGGTAACTTTTAAATTTTTTTAATTAATTCTCTGCACAGCATAAATGAACATGCCCCTGTTTTTCAGTGTAATTAAACCCAGAATTGGCACATGATTTGCACTGTCCACATTGCAATAGTAAGGAAAGTCACCTGCTGACTGAAATGGTGGTTTCCACTCAAATGTTTGTGATCCTACAAAGCAAATTTGTTTTCATTAAATTGCATTTTAAGGTATTGCTTATTCTGATTCATCTTTCTATAAATTGTCACCATGTCTTTGTCTACAGTCAGTTAGATACATCATCTTCTAAGGAGGAGTAAACTGCTCTGTGGTGCCTGATTCTGAACTGGTAGTTGTACTTTAATGACATATTTTCTATGTTGTCCATGAAACAAAACTCCTGCTTTGCTTCATTTTAACTATGGATCTCCTTATCCTTTATAAACATCAGCTGCATTTCTGAAGAGATGCTGAGTTCCCTTGCAGAATTCCACAGCTCTGTCTTGTCTCCTCAAGACTAAATTCATGCTGGTGCATTTAGGGGAAGTTTTCCATTCCTGCTTTTTTAAGAGTGTGTGTTGTGGTTATGCCAAGGTGTCCCATAGCACTGGAATGCCAGTGGTTGTCAGACAAGCACCAGAAAACCTGCAGCGCCTGGCTAGGAGAAATAAACCCAAATTTAAACCTGACAAGGAGTAAAACAATGTGGACGGATTGTTTAAATTCCGTAATCAGGCCATGTACAGCTGCACAGCATCATTCCATGCCGATGCCCATGAAATACTGTATTGATTGTGGTTTAAGCCTGTGGAAAATCCCCCACAAACCACTGAATAAAGTTGCAAATCCATCCCAACCCACCCACCTGAAGGATAATCTCGATTTTATTTATTTTTTACGTGCCACTGGGAAGGATAAGAGAAGATGAGAGAGGGGAAGATGTTTTTTAAACCAGATCTTATAAAGAACTCAGGAAACAATTGTCAAAGCTTTAGGAGAAAGTATTTTCTGATGGAATTGTCCTTCCCCCAAAAAAGAAGTGCCTGCCTGAGGTTGTAGGATCTATTTGAGGTGTTTCCAGAGTGACTTCCACAGCCACTGCCTCTAATTTTTGTTATGAATTGCTCCTTAGAGGAGCCCTCTTTAAGTGTTAATTCATTTTGGTTTAGCAACCTGCAGTTTCAGGTAGGAAGAAGCTAAATCTGTATGAGGCAGTTATTGAAAGGCAGTTTACTTAATGTCATAGTATTTAACTACTGATATTTAATCTGTATCATTAGTAGCCTCATTCTTTCAGGTTCTTTTCTCCTCCCCTATTTGGAGCTTATTCATAGAGACATTTATTGTGCAAGTTCCTGCAGTTCTTATCCAGATTTTATATTTACTTTTGTTTTATATATATATAAAATTTAGAAAAAATATATTATATAACATATAAAAATATATAAAACACATTATATAATATCTAAAATATAATATATAATATATATAATGTATAAATATATATATATGTATAAAAATCCATCCTAACCCACTCATCTGAAGTATAATTTTGGTTTTATTTATTTTTGCATGCCACAGGGAAGGATAAGAGAAGATGAGAGAGGAAAAGATTTTTTTTTAAACAGTATATGTATATAAATAGAAATATATATTAATATAAAATAATATATAAATATACATTAAATAAAGATATAAAAAGATAAATAATATATAAGGTATTATATATTGGGTTTATACTATATAATAAATATTTTATTATTCATATCTATTATATAGCTAATGTTTATCTAATGTTTTTATATATATTTATTTTATATCTATAAAGAAATATATAGAGAGATATAGATAGATAGATAGATATAGACAGATATAGATACATAGATATATAGATATAGGAATATCTCTCTATATAGATATATGGATATATAGATATATGGATATATAGATATATAGATATATAGATATATAGATATATAGATATATAGATATATAGATATATAGATATA